AAAAATGCAATTCGAAAAAATGAAAATCTTACCAATATGTTTTACATTGATATATTAGAGACCACTCAAAAAACCAAGAGGACGGCTTACCGGCTCTTCAATACCATGCCATAACCTCACATCGCATACTACGTATTTAAAGAAACAAGAAAAACGTGGAAACTACATAAAAACAAAAAACCGTATACAAGGTTGCCAGATGAGATACATGAAAAATCTTATCTTATAAATTTACTATATAAATTCATGTAAAATCGTGATTTTTTAAATCTTAGGTGGTAGACAGCCGCAATAAAATTGATAAGTATTATAGGCATACTATAGACCATAAATGAACCTATCTGGTTCCTTTATGCCATAGATTAAATCTGGTTTCTTTAAGGCTTACAACGAGCGTACGTGCAATCGTGTAATATCCCGCTAAATAGTGAGTTCTGGCAACAGGGAATGGATAAAAATGTTTACTATTTATTACTATGTGACTGCGCCATCTCTGATATTTTAAATATATCAAATGGAAGAACTAAGGAGATATCTTTACCAAATCTTCGCTTCACAAGAGCAATTGTGCCAGACGAACACTCATGGCCCCGCCGCCAAACGTTTCCCTAGTCCCCAATTAAAAAAAACCTCCTATTTGGTTTATCCTAGGCAAAAGGGTGGGGCGCTGGTTCCTTCCGGGGGTTTTCACCGGGCCCGGCTACGAGTATGTACATATATGGCAACGTAATGTATATGGGAATGTTAATGAAATGACGTTGTGGGTATTTGGAGTATTATGTTTTATATTTTAAGTATATAGATACCTATTATAACTACTATAAAAAAAAGGGGAAAGAAAAATAACAGTACCAAAGTTTCAATAATGTCAGTCAACATGGGGTCAATTGTATCTTCCCAGAAGGTATACATTTGTCCTGTTAAATTGCCTTCTAGGGAAAAAATGGCTAATGATACGATCAACAAGACCTCCCCCCCAAGCTTTTTTTTTTGGGGTTGTTTGTTCTTTACAAAAAATTTTTTTGGGTTCAAACCAGCAACACAAAATTTGGTTTTTTTCTTTACCGTTTTGAGGTTGAAAAAAAAAACCCCCCACAAAAAACATTGTATAAAAAATAAGTTTTTTTTTTAACAGTCTCCTCTTTTCCCACCTCGCAGAATTATAAACGACGATCACCTTCATTCAGTTGTTGTGTAGAATACATTGAATACTAGTTGTATACTAGTGATACACCAGATTCAGTTGCCAACTTTCTTTTACACAAAGTAGGGTTAAACGTAACATGGCCCAAATTGCCACTTCTGCCTCCTCATCCGTTATTGGCGATCGATGTTCCATTTTTGAAACATACTGTCGCGACACATTCATATTTTCATGTTGTTGATTGAATAGTTCAGCAGCCTTATTAGCACATAAATTATTCTCATAATAAAGACTAATCACCTCAACCCTCTGTGCAATTGTATAAACCATTGTTGCTTTTTAGATTAATTAGAAGTTTTTAACTACTATAACTACTGTAAGTTTACAGAAGTATTAGAGAACCTTTTTTATGATTTAGAACTGATATTAAAAGAGTTTACTAATAATGATGATGACAAGGAAGAAGCGATATACAGTGATTCTTCCTTGTCATCATCACTGTATATCGCATCACTAGTATCGTGTAATTCAGAATCATATCTCTGGAAATGTCATCCGAGATACGGGCTCTATTCATAACAGTAACATCACGAGGACTTTTAAAAGCATCAAAGAGAATTACATAAATCTTAATATTTAAATAAAATATGTATTAGATATAAAACATATAAAAGTAATTTATTGATCGAGTCAAAACACCAATATGCCATTCTTGGTTGGGTGGAGTTGCTACAAAACATTTGAAGAAATTCAAAAAAGATTTTAAAAAATAATATACTTTGAAGAAAACTCCTCACACGTTTTGTTGAACAAAAATTCCAGATATTTTTCTAAACTCTATTGAGATGAGTTTTTTTTAACATTCAAATGTTAATTATGTATGTGTGTATAGTTATTTTGGGGTGTTCTTGCTATCAATTCCTCAAGTTTGGCAGATTACTTTCTGGATACTATACATAAACATACGCAGATAAAAAATTTCTACAATGCAAGAATTAAACCTTAAATTAAAACTGACTATTTAAGAAGACCAATAGGGCATAAAACTCAGGTATAAAAATACATATCAAGCTGGTGGTGTCTGCATATTGTATCAAAAAAAAAAAAAGTGTTACACGACTTCTATTTGTTTTCGGTAGATTTTTGAACATGTTTGAAATATTTTTATTATAAGTGCAATACAGTAAAAAAATAATAAAAAATTATTCAGACAAAAATATATTGTTTTCATAAATAATAAAACGTAAATTTATGTAAATGTGAATTTATGAAAAGATATTAAACTAAGATTATTGGTGGTGTAAATAATAGGTCCTTTTTTCACAAACTATTTTTAAAGCTACCAGTTTCGTGGTATTTATACTAAACGTTTAGTATAAATACCACGAAACCGGTAGCTCAAATAAAGAGTTTGTGAGAAAAGGACCTATTATTTACACCACTAATAATCTTAATATTATGGATTCACACGGGTACCACTTTCCTAATTTAAAGAAATTAAATATTATAATTGCAAAAATTTGCAATTTTTTTTCCTATCTGTTCTATAGAACAGCATAGCAGTACCAAGATGGTTCCTTGACACCGCTGAAAGAACCCCCAAAATACAAAAATATTCTTATTTTACTAAAAATTTATAAAATAAAAGTTGAAGAATATTAAATTCTCACTATACTTTTAGCTTTGGCCACAAGCTAGGTACTTGTTTATTAAATTGTGTGTGTTGTCTTTCTAAATAAAGTTTTTAATTATTAACCAATACGGTTGAACTTGTTATGCATATAATGACTAGAGGAATCAACGTAGGTACTACCTATTATTCTCCCTACAGCTTACATTAATTAATGTTATTAAGCTCTGAGGAAGTTTATATCTAAATAAACGAAACGTAGGCAAGTTATTCTTGAAAAAGATTAAATTCTCTTGAAAATTCTTAGTTTTGTCGCGAATTCTAAATTTTCGTCCTATTTCTCAGCCCTATAATTCGGAAACTGTCGTATTGACAAAGAAATATTATAAGAGTTACCTTGTAGCAAATTTTAACCTCTTTAATCTATTGCAACAACTTTTTTCTCTAGAACTAACAGGAATGGAGTTATACAAGTTAAGGGTCATAGTTAAGGTATATGGGTCAACATTCCTACCAAGTTTCATCTCTCCATAACCTAAAATATTCTAATGACTGTACTAAATGCTAAACTAAATTTGGAATAGACACAACCCAAACCGATTTTAATGTTTATACTCATGGCGAAAATTTAAGAAACTAACAATTTTGACTAAATTAGAGAAATGATAAAAATTTTAATGCACCTGAATTTTCTATTAAAGAATTGCTTTAACAAACAATGATTTACTTTTCGGGAAATTTAAAGCTAATAGTAGTGCACCGTAAAACGGGAAAAAAGTAGCTTCCTTCTTGAAAAATTTTTTAAGGTACAACCACTTGGGACCTTCATAGCATGATAGCCTAGGTTCTTGGCCATCTGTAATGGCCAATTACAACATTTTTTTTGGAGGTCAAACTTTTTTTATTACGAAGAATGTTATAAATTTGTCAAAATTAATTTTTCTTACTTTTCACACATCCCTCATGATATCTCCGGAACCAATCGAGATAATTATAGGTATTTTTTTTAATTGATAAAGGAAATGTGGGCGAAGGTCACTGCTTTAATTTCGTTTTTATGGAAAATTTAATTTTTTTTGTAAAACTAGGTGAAACTGGAACGTTTACCTTCCTTATTGCATTTTTCGGTAAGCGAAAAACTTTTTTATTTTAAGGAATTTTGTCATACCATATGTGTATGAAATAAAGCCACACTTCAAGGAAGTTTTTTAAAAAAAAGTCAGTTCTCTACGACTTATAGTTTTCGAGATTTTGTTTTTTAAAGTTACGAGTTTTCGATCCTAGATGCGCCTCACTGTGGCGCCACTCAAGTGTGTAGACTGTGTAGTGTAGACTATCTACTGTAGACTTATATTAACCCATAATTGCCAGTTAGAAACAAACTTTTCTTTGTGTAATGTGAATGCGAATGAGTATTATTTTTATTAAGTTTTTACACATTACTTAATGCTTAACAATGGAATGTTTTATTTTATGTTATCAGAATTAAAAATCAGGTAATACAATTCTGGTAAAAATCTGTTGATACTGATGTCCTGATTTTGCTTTTACATTATTACTGTGAAACACCAGATATGTCCCAAAGGAATATATTTATACAATTAGGACATAGTAACAATATACATTTTTTGTCAATTAACAATATTGTGGTAAATTTAGGAGGAGGAAATTTGCAAGAAAGTATTAACGATTCATTGCCTAACTGGTTGTGTTGTGACACAACTAATGCCATGTATAAAATAGGGAGAAAAAACGGCATTCTATGTTTTATAAAAAATTTAAATAATTTAAAAAGATTTAGAAAACCTTCCTTTTCTGTCAGAGGATAAAGCGAAGGAATTAGGGGGGTAAAATATACGTTTTATTTATATAAGAATAAAAACAAAAATATAAAATCCCTGAATGAGATGGGACTTAACAACAAGTACAAATCGGCCAGCTTCTCAGCTGCCTCGTACTGACCATGCTTTTAGACAACATTTAAAAAGGTAATAATTATTTTTCTAGATCGCCCATACCTATTAAAAAAAAGAAACAAAACACCTACATGTAATTATTTTCTTTTAGGTATAATAATATAATAATAACACCACATGAAATTACAACCCTCTTTATCCCTGAAGGTCTGGAACAACCTTGTGTGGGAGAGGGCTACATATGTTAGAGACAATGGACATACACCCAATGTCCGAGTATACTTCGATTAATCTCTCACAGAAAAATCCCAGTTCCTCGACCGGGAATCGAACCCGGGACCCCGAACTTTTGAGGCAAGTACATTTTTATCTCTCTGACCAGAGCCAGTGTCTGTATCAATTAAAAATTTAGTACAATAGCCATATACAATACATGCAGATGGAAGATCCAGCTCGATACGGTTGGACATTTGAAGAAAATGTTTGGAAGGCAACTTTTTCTAGTCAAAAATCTGCCCGATATTGTAAGGCAAAGTTTGTCAATAAGATGTTCCGACAGGGTCTGGCGGAACAGATGTACCTGCTTGCTCAAGGTTTGAAATGCTGCTGCAGTGAGTGCAAATATGCAAACTGCTGCAACCAAGGAACTGTCTAGATGTATTTAAATCCGACGTTGACGATTTTTAAAATATTTTTATAACAAGTTTTTAAATTTATGTTTTAAAAAATAAATAATTATTTCGTATTTTTTTATCCAATTTTAGGTTTTAAATGGTAAATATAATGGATTTTAAATAATGTAAATGTAAATAATGATAAAAAACTCAAGTGCTTATGAAAATAAAATTTATATTAAAGATATGTCAAAAATAATACTTACTAGTATGCACCCACAACACGCATAGCACACTGATAAAAGCACAGTAGAACCGGGGAGATATCCACCCCGCAGAAACTTAATTTCAAATAACAATAACTTGAAACGTACAAGTCGTAGAGTATTGCGTTTTTTTTAAAAAAAACTTCCTTTGATGTGTTAATTTTATTCCGTATGCATATACTGTGGCAAAATTCTTTAAAACAAAAAAGCTTTTCGCTTACTGAAAAAAGTACTGCAAGAAAATAAATGTTAAAGTATTACCTAATTTTATAAAAAACTAGGTTTTCCATAAAGACTAAATTAATTCAGTCACCTCTGGCTCACATTTCCTTTATCGACTAAAAAAACTTGATTATCTCAATTGGTTCCGAGATATCGTGAGGGATGTGTGAAAAAGTACGAAAAATTAATTTTGACAGATTTATGACATTTTTCATAATAAAAAAAGTTGGACCTCCCCAAAAAATGTTGTAATTTGCCATTTTAGATGGCCAAGGGCCTAATCTATTATTCTGTGAAGGTCCCATGTGGTTGTACCTTGTAAAAAAAATTTTTT